AGAAAATCGTGATAACATTGACTCACATCGTCTGACTCGTCGAGGCCAGCTTCTCTGACGATGACAGAAACATCCCATTTGTACACGTGGTGGTCGTCGCAGCCAGTGGTGTGGTGAGCAGCTTTCCATCCGCGGAAAAGGCGCCGCATCTCACCCAGCCCTCATGGGTGAGGGGTGGTCCGATGGGCTGATTGCTTTCGAGGTTCCATAGTCGTGCTGTGCTGTCATTAGATGCGCTTGCGAGAATGCGGCCGTCAGGAGATAATGAGATGCTATTGACAAAAGATTTATGTCCCTCAAGCACAGCGGATTGTGTCCAACTGGTGGTGTCAAATTTCCTGATATTAGCTGGTCCGCCGGAGATAAGCGTTGTGAGTAGTTTGCCTGTGTTCGTATCCCAGATTTTCAACGAGTCGTATCCGCCCGTTGCAATCATTTTTGCATTGTGTAAGGATTGCATATCCTCTACACACCGATCACGCTTCAAAGCGAAGACGACGTGACTCCGTTACTCTTCGCATCCGAGTCACGCGGATATATCTCTTTTCATCTTACCATTCAGTACCTTACCTCGCGCTCACATTACACCATCTCGGTTCCTTCATCAAGTATTTTCACTTCGCTGTCAAGTATTTTCACGCTCGATCCGGCTTAAACAAGTATTCAAAAACGTATATATACTACCAATGTACACTCATACCTACAGCGAAATCTTACAGTGAGATCCCCGCTCCAAGTACGACCGAAAAGCCTCTCGAAAGTCCTCGTCTCTAGTCCAAGACCAATTCCTCTTCGTGTTACCTACTAACTCGTCTCATTTCTATCTGGTTTCGATCACAATTCCCTACCGAACTCACACTCAGCCTTACAATTGGGTGAGTAGCAAACCGCGTTCGGGATGAAGTGCCCAGTATCGATCGGTTCCAGGATGGTCTGGCCACTCCCAACATCCCAAATTCTTACCGTCCCATCCTCGGATCCGCTCACTACCCGCTCACCATCTGGACTCCAGCAGACACACAACACTCCCCCTGTGTGCCCCGTCCATTTAGTGATAACCTTCCCTGTATTGATATCCCACAGTCTCACTGCTCCATCCCTCACTCCCACTTGCTATGTTCTTGCCGTCCGGTGATAATACTATGGCGTGCACTCTTCCACTCCCTTCGTCCTGCCAGGCCTCCCCGACTTGAGCGCCGCTCTTCAAGTCCCAGGTTCGAAGTGTACCGTCCCATGAACAGGTGATGGTCCGTTGTCCACCGGGCAGGCGTAATACGCCTACGATTCTATCGCTGTGTCCTTCGATCTTGTCATGAGGTGTTGTAGCTGACATCTCTTCCTTTTCAGGGGCGGGGGAAGACATGGTTTGTGCTTGGGGACTTTACCTGATAGGTGCTGACAATTTCAGCCGTTACCCATAATGAAAGGCCATCACTTACTCGAGGTTAACCTATGCACGGAATGGATGCCTGTAGAATGAAACCGACGAGGAGTGATCGTATTTTCTGCAGAGCTGAGTCGGGTGAGGGGTTGAAGTTTTGTACAGGCTGTACTCGAGCGTTTTTTCATGCGTTATCCTCGTGTTCACTCCAGAGTCCACAGCCTCGCGCAACGCTGTTCAGATGACATCAGTAAATTGATGAGTCCTTGGTATTGTTGCCGCGGCAATTATAGAAGGATATAATTGTGTTCCTACTAAACATTACCATTTATACTGCGAGAAATGTGGGGCTGTCGGTACATAGCCATGAATGGTCACAAATATAGAATAGCATGAGGGGTCAGTGAAAATGCTGGGCTCTGCCGTGATTGCTGCTGACAAGGGATAGCAGGGCACTTATGTCGACGGTGTTGGACATTCCTATTTGCCTTAATGTCTGTTTCAAATTATATTTTCATTCAAGACTCTGCCATGGAAAGCAGCATTATCATTGCTTCAAAAAATTACAATGGCATGGCAGTTCGTGAAAATGCTGTGCTCTGCCGTGATTGCTGCTGACAAGGGATAGCAGGGCACTTATGTCGACGGTGTTGGGCATTCCTATTTGCCTTAATGTCTGTTTCAAATTATATTTTCATTCAAGACTCTGCCATGGAAAGTAGTGTTATCATTGCTTCAAAAAATTACAATGGCATGGCAGTTCATGACGAAGCTGTGCTCTACCACGATGGCTGCTAGCAAGGGATAGCAGGGCACTCATGTCAACAGCGTTGGGCATTCCTATTTGCCTTAATGTCTGTTTCAAATTATATTATCATTCAAGACTCTGCCATGGAAATAGTGTTATCATTGCTTCAAAAAATTACAATAGCATGGCAGCTCATGACGAAGCTGTGCTCTGCTGCAATGGCTGCTGGCAAGGGATAGCAGGGCACTCAGGGAACTCAATAGACGGAATTTCTGAAAGGGAGGAGTTTGGTCAGGCTCGAACCGTCAGACTGAGACAGCAGGTATATTGATAATAGGGCAATGTAGAGGAAAAGAAAGAAAATGATTTAAAATGAATAAAATGGTTCAACCAATCTTGCCCTTACATACCCACTGCGACAGCTGTTGTCCTCCTTGACTCTCCTAGGTAGACCTCTTCTTCGGAGATGGGAAGCCTAGGTCGTGATTTCATAGTAGTACTAGAGGAAGAGGAGACATCATACACTTCAATAGACATACTACATGACCAATGCTTCCAAGTCAAGTGCTGTCATGAATGTTACCAACTGCATCTAAATTTTGATTATCGAACCCTAAGTCACCTTATCCGATAAGATTAGATTAGATAGATCCCTGATAAGATAAGATGGATAACCGATTAACGATCACTATCTTTACATCATATCTATACTATATCAACGTCATCCACCTTATCCGTAACCCTAGACATACGAACTCATCACATCCTTAGAAGTCCTACGATTAGGCAACGGGTTACATCATAAGCATCTACATGCCTCTATGATCGAACCATAACCGAGAGTACCTTACGAGCTATCTCTCAAAGGGTTATCACCTCTTCACATCGCAGACCTTCACTTCCCACACATGACATGTTAAGAGTTACCTCTGTCATTCACCGAACCCCTTACATTAGAACCTGTTGCACAGTCACAGCTAAACCCTGAACCCCTATCACAGAAGCATCGCTCATAGAGAAGCATGTTTCATTACCGAAGACCCTGGAGAATCCCTAGATACAATCGCACCCAATACATCTCCAGATCCAGATCCTATCTAGATCCTCAGATCTAGATCCCAAGATCCATCTCTTATCGAGATCCTTAATTACCGCTCGAGACTTCTTATCACAGAACTCTCTCACACCCTTCTTAATCTCCGTCTACCCTGAATAGAAGCAGTCCCTGAGAACCCTGCTTAATTACCGATACCCTTGGCCCTATGAACCCTTATCCTTTCCCCTTTCTCCTTTCTTGTAGTTGATTGGTTGATAAGACGCCCTATACCCTAGGTGCAATGTTATGACCATATATAGTTATATCACATACCTTTCATACTCAGATAGCTCCGCCCCAATAGTAGTATATAGTCTAGGTCGTAGTCAGTAGTACTCCTTAGACTTAACCTCCTCGTTTCTACGTCATCGTAGGGCCTAGACGTTCCCTCTCAATATTACCCTTGCCTTATCCTCTTCAGACTGAGTCCTGTGGTGTGATCCATACTCCAGACACCTACTAGTTAGGTTAAGGGACGCTGGTCATAACAAGTGCGTGAACATGACGTTCCACGCTGAACATTTGATCCTGCGGTACCAATTCGCGTCCACCTCACGTGCGCGCTCCACGAGATATAATGGAAGAACAGTGTACACGTATGCCATGTAGGCATGATATGTATCATCACAGTCAAACGACCCCATATTTTCAAGTTTTGAGCTGCGCACGCAAGTTTTGCTCCAATGGGCCTCGAGCACGAATAAACTGTACATAAGCTCCATCCCTGCGCGTCAAACGAGTCAAAATAGAAATATGACCAGACAACCTGAAAGGATACGCACTGCAACACTCTCTTCTCCTCCTTGAGCTTCATGTAATCCTCACGAGCCACATTCGTGAAGCCCCACTTCTTTGAGACAATGATTTTCTGGTGGCCGGGGAACTTGTAGCATGCACGGCGGAGAGCCTCCTGGATGACGGCTGAGTTGGAGTCCTTGCAACGGATAGAGAGGATGATCTGGCCGATATTGACACGGGCGATGGTGCTGTAGGGCTTGCCCCAAGCACCACGCATACCAGTTTGTAACCTGCACGAAAAAATGTAAGTGTCACCGCACGAATTCACACCCAAGTCACATACCTATCAGCGCCAGCACAACTCAACATCTTGTTAATGCAGATGATGTGGAATGGGTGCACACGGACACACATGTGGAACGAATCCTTTCCAGACATCTTGGTGATGTACTTGTTGGCACAGATGCGGGCTGCTTCGAGTGCCTCGGAGCTCAACTGCTCGTACTCATCAGAGACGAGATGGCAACAGAAGGGGAATTCGTCGACGGAGGCATGTTTCTGGCTGAGATCGAAGATCCTAATCTGTGGGGAGGTGAGGATTTGGGTGACTAGGCATGGGCGACCAAACCTTGGAATCAGGGACACCACGATTGTACTGCGATTTGGGGTAGGGCTTGTTCTTGCAGTAATGGTAGCAGCAGGCGGGATGACGGCCCATTGTTGTAATCTGCGATGCAAGAGAAAAGTAATTGTGATCAGTACCTGCCTGTTCCAACGGAACAACATCCAAGGCAATTGGACGGCATCCACCCCAACCACTCATATAAAAATAAGAACAATAAGTAGCGAAAGGATGTCCTTACATAATAACCTTAGCCTCCTTAGAATGCCATTCGTCATTTTGTTACATGAGTAAGAAAAGGAATCTAATGTTTTCCTGATGTTGACCTGGTCACCGGGTTCATTCACATTTCTTGCAGAATGTTTGGAGTACAATTATACCCTTCTATGATTGCCGCGGAAATAACATGATATAATCAATTGACTGATAACAATGGTTCAATTCGTGACTTGAAGTTTGGAAGTACAAGCGAAGCCTTCTCAACCCTCCTCCCCCATCCATCCACCTCCCGCTGTAGTAGTTGCAAAAGCTTCACATACTGTTTGACGCGTGTCTGGGCCGCCAAATGACTCGCTTGGACAGTTTCTATAGTATACTGAGTGAAAAGAAGATTTTGATCGTCTTCTTCAATGTCTACATCGTCTAGACACATCTATGAAAAGTTAAAGCATCATCTTCATACACTTGACAATAGACATACCAGGTATGTCTTGAATTCGTGTACATGCTCGAGTTTGTCTCTTCTATGACAGAAGCAACAATCCTCGCATGCCAGCACACCGGCTCGGATGCTATTGGATGACTTAATGTTGGAAGTCAACACACAGGGAACTTCAGAATGCATAGTTGGTAAGGCAGCAGTAGGGCAGCTATAGCTGGAAAGAGCGGGGCTTTGATGGTCCAGTAACTTGGCCATTCTCAACAGTTGGTGTAATAGCTGGATATTAAAAACAGCGTAGTTCTAAAGCCATTTCGCTCACTTGATAAATGTGATTTAAAACGGAGACATGCGGTCTTTTAAAAGGGGGGTGCCGATTAACATCACTAAATCTTGTACTGCTTCATGATAGCGACATTGAATGACTGGAGTTCCCGAAGTCACCATCAACATCCTTGGGTTCAGCAAAGTTCAGTAGCAAGATTCTTCAGAATCCTGTGGGTGAAGTCAGCCTGCCAGAGAGCATGAGAGTACCAAAAGACTGATCATGATGCTATGCTCAAACATGAGCCATGTAAGCATTTCGAGAAGTCGTCATGCAACTGAGAACAGGGTCTTGAATGCATGCGTAAACGTACCGTGTATGAGTATGTCCAGGAAGGTGTGACAATGATCTTTTGATTATAATTGAGCTCAGGAGTCGGTAATAAAGGTCATTGGTTCATTGAAGTGGCTTCAGGATGCAGTCGAGCTCCTCGGGGTCTTGCATACCTTGAAAGAGACAACTTAGTAAACTGAATTGCTTGGACGTCAAAGTTACGCAATTATTGGGAACTGAAAAAGTTCGAAAGAGTAACAGAGGAGCAGTCAGTCCCACAGCTACCAGTGTTCTTTATTTCCGATGAGAGTTCTTAGCGAAATCAATAGGAGCCCTCGACAATGTGATTATGTAAATTTTGGTGCCGTGTGCTTTTGATAATAAATGTGCAGATAACATGTCATAAGTTCTGTGCTTTAGGCCGTCTCTCAAATGCTTGAATTACATTTACATACTACACATGCAGCATGCCTTACTACTATGCACAACTGGTAAGACTAAGGGCTTCAATTTCGGCCCTCATGCGCGATGCGATGATAATTACCACATCACTTGAGTAGAATACAGTATATATGATCATTGTATCAGAGAAAATCATCGTCACAGCACTGAGACTTGACTCGGATGTCCTACAACTGTACTAAGTGCAGTGTTTTGTAACTTTCTGCCAATCTGACAATAAAAACAGGGACACTGGTAGACCCTACTCAGTGGCGGAAGAGAGTAGAAAAATATTGGGTCGACCCCTGTGAGTCCACAGGATGTATATTTCTTCATTTCATTCCTCCGACCCCTCCAACCCCTCTGACCCCTCTGACCCCTCTGACCCCTCTGACCCCACTGAACACACCAACCCTGGGTCAGAGTCCAAGCCAGCCTAATGCATCAAACGGGCTGGACACTGACTCAGTCGTGACGGTACACACATTAGCACCTTGCGCTGTGACCTTGACTCCAACACAACCTGAGGTCGTCTCAGAAGACCGTCTTGAGGAAATTGCGTTAACATATCCGAATGTTGTGGAGGAGTTCGATCATTACCTGAATTATCTTTGGGGGGATAAATAGTGGTACTTACAGGGAATCCAACAGTAGTATGCGCAGCGTCCGTATCAAACAGAGTCATTGCGCAAAGGATTGAAAAGTGGTACATTTCTAGACTGTCTGTTAGATACATCATCTGCGTAATCACAGTCGGAACTTGAATTTGGTTACTTCCTCAGTACTAAGTAGTAAGTTCTCCCAGCTACAGTGACTACCCATACTAGTAGTGCAGGAACTTGAATGTGTCCCTGTCTTTCCTGGCCCAATCTATTTCTTTTCTTCCTCCTTTTAATGGTAGTACTATCATGCCGCACTCTAACACTTTCAAGTTCACGTTGTTCCTGGGAAAGGGATATGGATACTTGTGGGCTTAATAAACATCAAGCTACATGCAAGTACTACCAGAGGGCAAGGACGATAGCTGCAGAAAAAAGGCGGGAACGGGCAAATGAGTCAATTAGATTATTGCAAAGATCGCCCTCACAGCTCTGAGTCGAGGGTAGTACTACAGTAAGCGATCTACCGGGTACACTCGGAGTTGATTCATGTGACTTCCAATCAGACACAACTCAAACCAATCTGAATCGCAGCTTATCATGATGATACGAATTGTCATGAAAAACCCATAGCTCATTGTGAACATGACTTCAAGCCACCCACTGAGCCTGCCATTACCTCAGCTTCTGTATTCCAAGACTCGGATATTCCAGATGTTGCAATGGAAGATATTACAGAAGGCGATCGCAAAATTTCAGGTGTGCTGCACCTTTGTGAATGTTGAATTTTGTTGCTCATGACTAGTAGACCCTAGTGAATGTTTTCTGCGGCACATGAGGACTCCAAGAAACTTTGACGATCTTCTGCCTGCCGAAGAAGACATCAATCTTTCGGACTCTTTTGGGAATGATCCGTTCAAGTTGCCCATAGCTCAGAATACAGCACGGCATAGAATTCAAAGAGTTATTTTGATGCTACGTGACTCTCTTCAAACGGCATTCAATGTGATTGGACTTTGTCGAGAATATCCACAGCACCCGTCGTTCGAGCCTGACAAGTTCATTCCGTCTTCGCTGCTAGCCGAATCTTGTCCCACCAAGATGCACGATACCCAAAGACCTGATTCATCCCATGGGATCTCTGGGCCACCTTATCCCTTCACTAACATGAGCATCTACCGTCTTATGACATGGATGAACTCTGGAAGCCATCAGAAGTCGGAGGCTGAAGTAATGCGTCTTGTCAAAGATGTGCTTCAAGCGAAGGATTTTTCTCTAAAGGATCTAGATGGATTTTCAGTCAAGAAGAATCTGCGTGCATTGGACAATAACGGTAGCAAAGCAACTGTTACTTTTCCGGATGATTGGATCAAGGCGGATGTCAATCTTGAAATACCTACAAAGTCAAAAGATGATCAGTCCAAGTCATTTGACGTCCTGGGATTCCATTATCAGCCTCTTGTAGCAGTCATTCGTTCCGCATTCGCCGACATTCAAGCGAGTGCATTCCATCTTTTTCCATTTAAGCGCCTGTGGAAGGATCCCCTGGACAATCATCAGGAGCGCCTGTTTGATGAACTCTATACTTCTGACTCCTGGATAGAGGCTCAGGATGATTTGCAAAGGCAGCCAAGAGAGCCTGGCTGCTCACTCGAGCATGTTATCGCTGGACTCATGTTCTTTTCGGATGCAACACATCTCGCAAACTTTGGAACAGCCAAGGCTTGGCCCCTTTACCTGTATTTCGGAAATTTGACCAAGTATGCACGCTCGGAACCCAAATCTGGTGCATGTCATCTGGTGGGATTTTTACCTTCAGTATGCTGCACCTCAGCATGCCGCATTGCCCTATTAACGACCAAATTTTTAAGCTTCCGGATAGTGTCAAGGATGTCCTTAGCAGCTTACCTTGGATATCGAAAAGTGGCATGGCAGCTCTTCAGACGCATTGTTGGCGAGAGTTATTCCAGAAATGTTGGAACATTTTACTGGATGCAGACTTTCTTCGTGCATATCGCCATGGAATTGTCCTCCAGTGTCCAGATGGAATATTTAGAAGGGTGTTTCCCTGAATCTTCACTTACTCAGCCGATTACCCAGAAAAGTGCGCTCCCTTTCTTATTCGTTTCTCGTTCAATTGCTAATAACTAACTGTTTCAGGGTTCTGATAGCAACAATCAAAGACATGGGCTCTTGCCCGTGTCCTCATTGTCTAATGCCGAAAGCCTCATTCAATCTACTGGGTCTTTTTAGTGACATGCGAGATCACTTAGCAAACCTAAGAACTTATTGTCTCCCAAAGGTGACTAAGGCTCGCGAGTTCATCTATAAATGGGGAAATACTGTTGACGGTGCAAAAGTACAGGTGACTCTTGGAGAAGAGTCATGGGTGCCAATGGTGGTGAGAATCCCTTCGGAATGAATTGAGATTTGGTCGGGACTTAATTTTCAACTAGAACACATTTGCAGAAAAGCTCGGCCCATTAGGATTTGACACTTTTCGCATGCTTGTTGTTGATTTCATGCACGAATGCGAGCTGGGTACATGGAAGGCGCTGTTTACGCATCTTCTCCATCTGCTTTATGCGCTTCCCGGTGGTGACAACCTGGTGGCATGTCTCAACAACAGGTCCGTCATACTGTCCTCTTTTCTATGTTTGACACTAATTAAGTTAAACAGATTCCGCCAGATTCCATCATATGGCCTTGGCACCATTCGCAAATTTGCAAATAACACGTCAGAAATGAAAAGACTTGCAGCACGGGACTTCGAGGACATCTTGTAGGTTCGTCCCGTTGTTTACGTAGGTGCTGATGTACGTTGTTGACATCTATGCCAGTGTGCTATGCCAGTATTCGAAGGACTTTTCCCAGAAGAGCATGATGCGATTGTACAGTCGCTCTTGTACCAGTTTGCGCAATGGCATTCCCTTGCTAAACTTTGCATGCACTCCAAAACTACCATATCGGTTTTCGATGAGACGTTCAAAATGCTCTCCTGTCAGCTGCGCAAGTTCCTTGATTTTACGTGTTCTGCTTTCACTATGGTGGAGTTACCAAAAGAGAAAGCTGCGCGCAAGCAGAAGGCTGTGTGTGAAGGCTCAGGTTCAAATAACAGAGTCGCAGGAACAGGCGGTCGGAAGGTCAAGAAATTAAATTTGTATACTTACAAATTTCATGCCATGGGAGATTATGTGTGGTCAATCCGGCTCTTTGGGACAACGGACTCCTTTACAACGCAAATTGTACGTGTATCTGAGTTTCTGCTATTTCTTCTCATAGTGATTTCGGACCAGGGAGAACTAACGCATAGAGCGCTGAAAGCATTCTATCCATTGACTAATAAACTAGACACCCTGGCTCAACTTGCTAAGCATGAGTGTCGTCGATGTATCCTTTGGCGAGTGGCGGAGACAGGACAAAGTTCGACTAGCGAACAAGTACCAATTGATTCATCTGCAGCAAACCCCAAAGATCATCACTATATACCGACGGGTAGCCATAACAATCCTCTGCATATATTCAAGTTTCTTCATGAACATGATAATGATTGTTCATGCATTACATGCACTACGGAATTGGGCATCCTGTTTTCTTGCGGGAAATGACAAGAAATTGCTCTAGCGCAGGGCAAGCAAACAGCCCAGACTTGGAAGAGGATGAGAATGGTGGCAATGAAGACTGGGAGGGCCGCAGTGAAGCTGCAAGCGATCATGATGGTGATGAAAATGTCGAGGCAGACGAAGAGGAGGATTATGATGAAGAGGGGTATTATGATGAAGAGGAGCGTGATATGAATGATGGTGAGGATGAGGAAGAAGGGGATGATCATGTATCTTTTTGAATAACCCATTTCCTACTACTGGTTCAAGCAAGTGGTGTGGGGGCCATCAGAGAACTGGTAACCCGAAAATATTGTCATATATTACGATATAAAGTCATAGTTTCGCGTTTTGTCACAATGTAATATAAAGCAATATATGACCATGTAGAACTACTGCAATCTACATAATGGTCAGCAAGAACTCACCGGTTCACTGATGGCCTCAAGCTTAAGCGCTCAAGCTTGAGTTCTGTCAGCTTGTGAGAACTGACTAAGTATAATGCTAAGTATAATTAATAGTGGCTGGCATGGCAAATTTATAAAGGGAGATATCTGCAGCATATTGATAACGTAAAACCATGCCTGCTACCACCCTACAGCATGGCCCCATTCAAGGTCAGGGCATCTACAACTGTAGCAATGCCCGGCATTCCCAGCCCATGATACCAGTGTCATGCAGAGGAACCTCCTCATGTGCCTACACTGATACTATTCTCAAACAACACTCCACACCCCCAGCAGCTTTTTTGAAAAGTTCAAATTGTCCCAGTCAATCTATTGCATTGGAGTCAGGTTCCAGCCGCACATTTAAATCAAAACTTCCTATTCAGCTAAAACAACTAGTTGAAACTAGTAAAGGTGGTGTTGAAACTAGTGAAGGTGGTGTTGCAACTAGTGAAGGTGATGTTGAAACTAGTGAAGGTAGTGTTGAAACTAGTGTGACTGATGGTTAGTCTTCTGACATTGTCATGGTGTACCCTTTACTAAGCCATGCAGCTTTGCGCAAGCGAATAATCGCCGCAATCCGGGATACTGATCAAGGATCAAATGTTGAGGTACGATAGTCACACACCTTCGTATCTTTCCGAAGCTGATTGCCGCAGGTGTTCTCTGACGTATGTGAGGACAATTACAAATTTGTTCTGGATACCATTTCCTCAGACGAAGTCAGGTCTTTCTGCAAGTTAGTAGTTCTTTCTCGGATGCCCAAATCGGGACTCATCAGTACATTAGACTATTGTTTACTTCCCGTCTCAAACAACTCATTGTCACCCTGCCTACTCCACTCCACGAAGCTCTCTTAGCGCATATGCGTGATGCGATGGCATTAGCTACAGCTTTCATGCATATCGACAAACAATTTCGCAGTCTGCATTCAGTCCCACACAGGCCAAAATAGTATTCGACGACAGCGGGGATCCAATTGGGATCCCCGACCTACAAGTCCAACTCATAAATCGGAAAAAGCATGCCTTTCCCTTATGGGTGATGGAGAGTTTGTTTTCTCAAACCAGCTGAAGCAGCATATGAGAAACTCAGGCACTTCGCCGCTGAGTGCTCAAGTATCATGGCCTGCACCTTGTTTGACGTCACTGAGGTCGATAAACACGTTGCACCAGCCGATGGCTGGGCAGTAGAGCAAGAGTTGAATGAGGGAGAAATTTACAACTATATTGACTGGATCGAACATGGCGACAATATGGATGCCAATGCTGGTGGAATCAAATCCTTCTCCCACACGTGGGTCGGTCCGTTCAGTCGTCAAAGTCTCCACGTGGGTTCGTCCCCTGGGTGAACCATTCGATTTAGCAGCACCTGATGACAGCCCCAACTTGTACTTCTCATGTGCTGTAAGTGGTGGTAGAGTCACCCGATGATCTTTGATCACTAATCTTGCAACACTACAGGAACTCCTCCCCAACCGTGACAGTGGCGGCCTTAAGATGTGCAAAAGATATTCCAGCACACGTTAGAGCGGATTCGCGACAGGGTGGTTGTGGAGATGGAACAGGCCCGAATCGAGGACGCATCACTCCCCATGTAAGTATATCATCGGCATGGCCATAAAATCATGCTGTTCACTAATCAAGTTTGTTTTTTTCTTTTTCAGTGAATCAATCATAGCTGTTCAGGATTGGGTGTTTCCTCCCTGTCTGCTTGACTGGGATGAATGCGAGGCTTCTCTGATGGACTCAGCGGTGGAGATAGGGTTCACACGGTACTCCAAGTGGCATCAAAAGCTCCTTACTAAACGCACTTCCGAGTCGTAACGACTCGGACTTGGAGTTCACCTGTGACGAACTTGAAGGAAGGCTTGCAAGGGGTGCCGAGCAAAAGAGGCAGGATAGCGTGATACAATCTGATGTCACGGTTCTGTCCTACTGTACTACTATCATTCGAAATCGACATGTACTGCTAGACAGGTTTTGAGCTGACCAATGATTCTCGCCTTTGTCATCCATGTAGACAGCAACGATGATGATCGGTCCCATTCTCAACCCTGAAGAAGACAATTCCGAATGATCCACTTCACTTCGCGTAAATCCAAGTGATTCGAAAATGGTGCATAAATGATTATACCACTGTGACTTGTGCGCTTGCTTGAGACTGTAGAGTGCACGTTTCAATTTCCAGACAAGATCTAAAGTATCAAACACAATATCCCGCAACTTGAAAAATGTGACCACTGGCTTTGTGTAAGCACACATATGCCTTGCGGTGCTTGGCACATCCCAGATTCACGCACTCGAGTAGTTTTGCACCTGAGGTTCCGGCATTCTTATCAGGTATGTCATGGTGAACATGGGCTTTGCACCCAAATACCCGGAGATGGGAAACTGATGGTTTGTTCCCAGTGAACGCCTCATGTGGAATATTTCTCCAGCAATTGCACAAGTGGGTACCCAGTTCAAAATGTGTGCTGAATGCAGACCAGCATCCCCCCAGTACTAGTAGGCTACGTGCCTCTTAGCTACAACAATCTACTCCCGTGACCATAACCGACTTACGGTACATTGCTGTTGCCCCGAGTTAGCCCTAAGTCACGGTCACTGACATTTATGGGCAATGCCTTATTTATGGGCAATGCCTCTTTAGTGATGGCGCGAACATATAAAGGTGGCCTGCCCAGCACTACAATCCATTCACCTTTCCCTTTCCCCTACCTCACCTTTGATCTATCTCACACTTCCCTCTCATTCGCTGGCCACTCTGCTCTGACCGTGACATGTCTCAGGCATCTGCATCTGCACCTGACGAGGACGAGAACGACGTCTTGACTGGTCCCCTCATACCTGATAGTCTCTCTCAGGCAATTCCCACATCTGCTGGTGCAAGAGCGAAGTGTTGCGTCGCCGCCTTAGAAGAGGAGCTTGAAGCTATGCGGCAAGAGAGAGGAAGGAAGCAGAGGTAATTACACCGTGACTATCTTAAGTACTGTCAGTGCTAATTCTTTTTTCTTTTTGAAAAAAAGAAAGACGACCTACTATGTTTCACAGGGCCTGAGCGATTAGTCGCATGGTAATCCTTTTCACCAACGGCTTGGAAGACTTAATTGCCAAGAACGACCGCAGGTGTGAGGATGAATCAAGGGACAATACTCTGGCGTAGGTTGTTCGTTTTTATTTCATAGCGTGTCCTAATACTGTAATACAGAGAGGATTGCCTGCAGCGCAGGCTATATTGAGCTTACCCGAGTACTGCCATGGCTTCACAAAAAGCTGCATGCTCTTGACTCCGACGATTCTAATGACATGGTGAAAAAAGTCTGTGATCCTTCACAATTCCTTTTGCATTGCATGCTAATTATATATATATTAGCTGAGGAAAGGGGCAGATGCGGCTCGCGGTGACGATACTTCCACGCTCAAGGACCTTGTCGCTACCTGGCTCAATCAAGATTTCGGTCCATCTCCTCTGATCAAGCCCAACACCAAACATTCGTGTGGCTTCATGAATGATGTTTGTGGGAAACTACTCTGCCCTGCCGAGTGGGACTGGAATGAGAACCGGTGAGGTCAATTTTCCTGGGCTTTGACACGACACTGATTTTTGTTCAGCATGAAGTCTGGCATTCATGACAGAAGATCAGATTATATTGTCTCAGAAAACTCCTGGCCGCTTTTCTTATACGAGAACTATATAGTCGACCATGGCAGCCTTGAGAAAGGTCTGTTCAAATCCAAGCTTCTTGTTCAGGTTAGCGACCTGCAATTGCTGTAGCCATTTTGTTTTACTCATTGCAGCACTTTAGGGCTTCAAAGCCATCTTCACATCTCCTTCCTCCGCGAGAGCGGCTGACGAGGATGGTGACAGAGCTGATATACTCGAGAACAACAAGCGCGCCCGGCAGGCAATCAGATCAAGTGAAGGTCAAGACATGCATAGCCTCGATCATCAATATGAGGAAAGTCACTCCTCGTGCAATTGCTTATGCCTGTCTGTCAGGTTAGTAGACAGTATTACCCGTATTTGATGACTGGTATCTAACCATTGACTGGCAGGTTTGGTTCGCTCTATCAAGTGTTTCCTCTTGGCTGCTCGGTTGATGGTGACTTCGACAATGAAATGTTTTGGAATAATATCTGTGGACTTCTTCGAAAATGCCCCTGGCCCTGTTGCGCGTCAGTAGGTTAGACAATCTTCTGGAATGGTGGACTAGGTAATGAATATGTGCTACTTGTTTCAGATGGCTGATATTGTCGTTTAGGAAAGTTTTTGGAACAAACCACCGCCAAGACCTGACGTCAGATGTAGTGTCCAAAATGTCTGTCTCAACACTAGCTGAGCAGAGGAACACACTGGAGGATGCCGCTTTTAACTCAGACTAAACAGCTCTTTGTTTCATCTCACCCATCCTGCCTTCCCGAGACCACTGTTTTCCTTCCATTAGTAATACCGCTTCCCTTGTTTGCCTCCAATTCACCATAGTCTACGGTTCATGCATCATGCCTGTATGTTTCATCGTACTTGTCATCATAATATACTTTCCAATGTTATTGCAATGTTCGCATCGTTCACCCTTTGTTGGAGATTGAAGTCTTTCGAGGAATGGACTCGGATTATCACTGGTGTATTATACTGCCCCACATGCTATCTGCTATTAAATGTATTATAATTCTCAGTGCTGCCAAGCCAAATAGCAATTCGCTCTTTATACGACCATTGTGATGACTGTGACAAGATACTTACATTGCGTGGCTGGGGGATCAACTGCCAAACATTTTCTAACTACGATGACCTCCGACAAGGAAGTCACCCACACTCCCCAACTGGACGGGATTAATTGACGTTCCCGATCACGACAGATTGGATTGGGTATACGAACGAATTTTTACTAGATATTGGTACATCAAAATGCAATTTAGCGGATAGCAGAGTCCGCAAACAAAATTCCTCATCTGGTATCGAATCCATTCTAATGGTGAACGTTGGCAACTCGTCCAACATGCCATACTGCATGAGCGAAGGTAGAGAATACCTACCAAATAAAATACTGGACATATCGCATCCTCTTCTCGAATCTCCATGATCCAGATCTTCAGTCTGTAAGTTACGAACCATTACGTCATCAGCTGGTTTGCATTGCTTCGGGTGCTGGTGCAGAGCCTGGCACCAAGTTATAAGTCTTAAGCTTCAACCCTACCTTTACCATATCTTCCAAACAGAGCCGTCTTGCTGTTATTATGCAATGCAAGTGATATCAGTAGTGTACCCCATTACATTTACTTTCATCGCAAGAAGGCAAAGTGACTGAGATATACTTTGTGTTTCATTTAGGCGATACACTTGGGATTCGGTCGAACAAGGCATCATTTTGAACGAATTGCAATACTTGGCATTAAAATAGATATATTAATATAAGCAAATTTGTTCAACAGTTCCCCCACGGGCTGAAATATATTTTCATATGCTAACATTTGCCGAAGTTACTTCACCTATTACCACGCGTACTTGTGTTTGAGTTCGCCGAATGCCCTTTTGGTGAACAATGTTTGACTTGAGTGGTTTGTAATTTGATGATCTAGCAACATGGCAATATCTTGTTCGGTGGTGCAATCGAGACTACCAGCGCATGAAACCCCACCTACACTATGACTGTGCGAATCAGACGTCACACGCCAGATTATCTGGAACTTCAGGCGCTATATTTAAAAGATGCTTTTTCAAACAGCAATGAAAGTAGACCAAAGATGAAATTCTTCGTAAATTTGCTGATTTTCACATTGTGCGCTTGGTGTTTGTCTCTTCAATCATGGACCCAAAATCCACGTCCTTGACTCGTTTCAGCGTCTTACATTTGCAGACCAATTCAAGTAGGGGGTGGTACATCGAGAATAGGACAACTTGATTGGTGAACATAGAAACACATCTTTCCTTTGTAAAGTCAAACATTATAAAATAAACCCCCCTGCCAGATTTACGGTGATTGCTGTGAATGTTAACAATATATAGTTTCCTATGGTATTTTAATATGTTCACCAGTTCACTGATGTGAGTTGTGCTCATATCCTAGATACTTACAGACCATTTCTGACTTCGCCTTAGACTATACTGAGCCCTGGCGTGTCATCTAGGACGACTCGGATGGGAATGGATTCACGATGTCAAACAGGTATTCAGGCAACTAATGTCCTTGCCAGTCTTCGAAGAATGATATGTGATAGTACAGCTGATAGCGTTGCCAAAATGGCAGACAACAAACCCTGACAAAAAAGGATACTACATACTATGTAGTGAGGTGGCTTTTTCCTGATGCGAGCCGTATCATCATGTGCTTCGCTGTTCATGGCTGCGGAGCAAACGAAATCGTTAGGGAGATGACGCCGGCGCTCTTCACCCCGTTACTCCGTGAGTGACTCAATGATGTAAGTTGTGATTCTAATCTACAATCTCACTGTCTAACATTAATGCGCATCTTGTAAGTCAACTTTTTGATAAAACGAGGATGACGGTGTACGTTTGTGCCATACTTATTCTGCTTGAGCTCGCCACTTTTCCTCAGCCTGGGTTGTGTTCGTAAACTGCCTAATTCAAATGCCGCCTAGACTTATCGTGTGGTTCAACAACGACTTCTCCTTTTGCTGTTGCTTTTCATATCTTGACTGAACATTCCCTCACATTCACACCGGACCATATCAAGTCTGGCAGGCAGAAAAAAAGATATGCTGTAAGTTCGAATTTTGTAGCTAGCTGTGTCGCGTCCTTGAGGGCCCGATGGCAACCGGTGGGTTCACGATTGAGCTCTGCAATCAGCAAATGCAGCTGCACCAGTCAAACGCCGCCTCAAACTGTAATCCAACAGCACGAGATCACGGAAGGTACTCAGCCCACATCTTCAGTATATTAAGTTTGGAGCCGAGAAGCACAGAAACCGCAGTGCCCCCAGAG